CAGGTCATCGTTGGGAACATCATCTAAGTCTAGCAGAGGTTGTACTGCCTCTTGAACTTGTTCCTTTTCCTCTAGATTTTCTAGAAAAGTAGCATCTCTACTTTCAATGACCCCTTTCTCTTCATGGAAGAACCTATATCCTTTAGACTTTTCAGAATAGCCTATAAATCTACACTTTAAGGTTTTGAGATCCAGCTTATCTCTAACTTGATATGGAATGAGAACATGTGCAACACAACCCCATTTTCTTAAGTGACTTAATTCAGGTTTGTGTCCATTCCAAATCTCATACGGTGTTGACTCGACTGATTTTGTGGGAATCCTATTCAAAATATAATTCGCAGTCAATACTGCTTCTCCCCAAAAATCCTTGAAGAGACCAGAATATGACAGCATATATCTCACTGCATTCATCAATGTTCTATTTTTTCTTTCAGCCACACCATTCTGTTGTGGCGTGTAAGGCATAGTGGTATGTTTCTTAATGCCATAATGAATGCAATAATTTTCAAATTCTATTGAATTGAATTCTCCACCTCTATCAGTTCTTAACACCTTAATATATCTTCCAAGTTTCCTTTCTACTTCTGTCTTGTATCTTTTAAAACATTCAAATGCTTCTGATTTTCTGTTTAAAAGATACACAAAAGTATACTTGGAATAATCATCTATGAAAGTTATAAAATATTCTTTATTACCACGTGTCTTTACGCTTAACGGACCACAAATGTCAGAATGAACTAACACTAAAAGTTTACTTGCCCTCTGATTTCAGAAAATGACTTTCTAGTCATTTTCCCTGTTAAGCAGTGTTCACAGGGTAATGTCCTTACACCTGTCAGATTTGGTAACAAATCCATTTTAATTATCTGATATATCTTTCTATTACCAGTGTGTCCTAGTCTCATATGCCATAGATCAAAATCAGATAAAAGACACGAGGAATAAAGCAAATCAGAATTCTTATTGCAAATTTCAGGTTTTACAACAGAAAGACAGAACAAATCATGTTCGGGTACAAACTTGCCCATAGCAAACACTTTCTTGTCTTTCCCAATAGAGACCCTATTGTTGTAAAACCTAACTTCAAGGCCTTTCTTCAGGAGAGCTGGGACGGAGATCAGATTACGTCTTATGCCAGGCGCATAAAACACTTCCTTGAGAACCATGATGCTGTCCCCAAGATCCAATCTGTATGAACCAATACCTTCAACATCTAGGTAGGTATTGTTCCCCATGTAAATCCTTTGATCTCCCTTCTTCAGCTCCTTGAAGTCGCATATCCCTTCCTTCGTCTTTGCAATATGTCGGGTAGCTCCCGAATCAATCCACCAGCCACCAGCGTCAGTAGTTGCAGCATTGCACTCAATGACGCCGATGAACTCCCGCTTACCGGATCCTCCTTGTTCCGGGCGTTTGGGACCGCCCTTATTCTTCGCCTGTGGACAGTTGGCTTTGAAGTGGCCGAACTTCCTACAGATATAGCATGATCCAGGAGGTCCTTTCTTACCGCGAGCACGTTGCTGGCCAGGTCCTTTGAAGGAAGGCTTGACAGGTCCAAACTGATGAGTTCCTTGTGCCTTGCGATAGTGAGCTGCATTTGCTTCTTCTTGCTGCACAAGGTTCACATCTGAACCTTTTCTTCTAGCTAGTAAATCCTGTTCCATTGCTAACTGGGCTGGCAAGTCAATAACACTTAATGTTCCAATTTATACCTAAAGTTGGCAGCCAACATTAAGTGCAAGACTAACAAAATAGTTGACACCTGGCAATTTCCAGGAATTACAGATCCTCGGAAGCTATTCCTAGCCATGACAATCATCTTGTTCACATGTTCGGTAACATCTTCACCTTCTTGCATACGTCTTGAATTAAATCTATGCATCAAGAGCTGTATGTTCACCTCAGAGGTAGTGTCATACTTCTCTTTAACTGCAAGCCACATTTCCTTAGCCGTATTATAGTTTTCAAAAATTTTGATTAAACTATCCTCCATGAACATTAACATTAGGCTTTTAGCCTTATTGTCCTTAAGCTGCCACTGATCAAGCTCCCTTTTCTGAGCGTCAGTGGGATTATCACCAAGAGTTGGTGCAAAAACATCTAGGACACTATCTAGATTGTCATGGATAAGTCCGTACTTAATCTTCCTATGCCACATATCATAGTTGGAACCATTAAGGCGTTCTATCTTTGCCAGTTCAGATGCAATCAACTTACTAGCCATGACGATAATAAAGCTGTATGATATTTCAAATAGAATTGATTTTAGATTACTAAAGAATAAAAAATTAACTTAAAAAAAATAACTTAAGTAGTTGATATTAAAACTTTTTTTTTTTTTTTTGAATTTTATACTGTAACTGTAATAATAAAATATAAAGATAAAATATTAAAAAATATAATAACAACAAGATTAGTTAAAAATTCGGAATTTTCCACTGATGCACTTAGATGAGACCTATAATAATGGCAAAATGAGGTTCTTTATATGAACATACTTAGAAATAATGGATTAATAAAAGAACTTATCCATTCCTGTCTTGTACTCTTCCACAAAAAAAAATACAAAACAAAAGTGCATCAACTATAAAAAAATAGAATGGATGGGTACTTACAGAGCAGGTGCGGATAAAGAGTATTATAAGGGAAAAAAAAAATTCTAGAAAACGCAGCACCTCAAAACTCTCCCAAATAAAAATAGAAGGGATGGGTACTTACAGAGAGGCGGTGAAGGAAGAGTGGAATTTTTTTTTTTTAGAGAACTGCGTTCTTCCGGAGAGCAGCTGCGAACAAGTTGCTGCGTGGGTCGACGGGCGTGGATCTGCGGTTGTGGGGATCAGAAGACGGTGTTACTAGGCGGAGCCTGGGGCTGCCTTAGAGGAGCAGATCGGGTCTGGGAGAGGAGATCAGGTCTGGGAGGAGTTTTTTCTTTTGAAGGCTTGAAGTTGTTGGTCGGAGCGGCGATCGCCTCCAGAATCGTCGAATTTGAGGGAGACAGCGACGGAAAAATTAGGATTTGGGAATCGTACCAATGCTCTGATACCAGTGAAAGATCAAGGGAAGGATGTTATTTGGGGACTCCGGTAGAGATTGTTCTCTTTTTTGTGTACCACAGAGGAGAGGAACTCCTCTCTATTTATGGGCGTGCCATCCCCCCCTCCGTCCCCAAATAACCGCCCTGAAATCTCTCAATATCCCACGTTCTCCTCTTCTGCGTAAGACCCGATCTCCAACTTAAAATATCCCACGAATCGTGAGATATCTATCAACAACCGAGTCAGGTTCTTAACAGATCGGGTAACAAATTTGGCCCATGAGGCCAAAACCACTTACAAGAAGAGGGGGAGAGGAGGAAGGAGATGTGTTAAAAAAGGAGGAATGAGGAGCCATGGCCATTAGATGTAGAAAAAAAAGAATGGAAGAGATGAGGGCATTTTGGGATTTTTTTTTATTTTTTATTCTCTTTGTATACTTAGTTGCTAGGGAATAATTACTAAAGAAAGGCTGCAGCACATGGGAAAAAGTTAGAGGGGCTGCAGCACATCAAGTTATTACTTTTAGGGCCTTGACACAGTTTTCACTTCTAAAAGACATTTGTGTAAGTTGGAACTGTTTTGAATATTTTGTACATTTTTACTTTATATACTACTCTGCATCCTCTATCTCTTCTTGAATATATATTGGGGATACTTTAGACTTTTGAATAGTGTTACTAACATGGTTTATGATAATTTTCAAATAATGGGTGATATATTTCTGCATATTCGAAAGTTTGTTACATTCTCTTAGTGCAAACACCCCAATATTTTGATAGTGGCAGTTTTGTGAAATTTACCCTTTTCTATCAGAGGAAAACTTAAAGAACATAACCAAACATACGTTTGATAAGCAAGTGAATAGAGTTTGTGAATACTCATATTCAATTCGTTTAATGTACAAATACCAAAAAGTAATTGATTTTACTCTGTTTGATAGTTATTCAACCAACTTCCCTCACTTAAAATTGTTCTCTATAATTATACTATCAATCCCAAAGTAAACAAATTTGTTTTAACTCTCTTTGGAATCTCTTATAACTTGGCTCTTGTTTTATCCCGGAGTTGTACCTCAGTGTAATCTTGTAAACTTGGAGGAGGCAAAAACATAAATATCCAAAAAAGTGGAGGTGTAGGAAATAATTTCCTCCTCTAAGTTTCAGTGCACGGGGAGGATTTCCTTTTGGAGGGCGAGCATTTTGGTGTGAATCAGATCCCTTGTATAGATGCTCAGTAGAATAGAGTTTCATTAATGAGAACATAAAGTTGGTCATTAATGAGACCCTTTCAGATTAAATGCTTGGATCTTGAGTAGAAATATAGCCAATCAAGACTTTATTTGATCCGTACCTTGGGCCCAAAAGTAACTATTATAATTCCCCATTCAGCATTTACTGGGGTATGTTGGGTCTTTGAAAATAGAATAATTTGCACAAAATGTTTTCATTTTTCGGATGCAAGAGGATGTTAAATCTTTATAGGATTTCTATTCAAAAAAAGTGATTTGACAGTATCTAATTTTCATTGTTTAATCATTCTAAATTGGCATTTTCCTTTCCATATCCAAATGTAAAATAATGCTGTCCTTTTTTGTCATCTCTTTGAAGCCTAATATTTTTGTAGAATTTTGTAGGAATAAGGGTACATATATTAATGCGTCTAACTCCTTCATGTCTTTTGCTAAGCATTCATTCTCATGTAAAACCAAAACGTGCGTATTTTTTAGCTGATTTCACTTTCCAACTTCTCCTAGCAATGCTGTGCATTACTTGCTGAAATGAAAATTAAAGGATTCTTTATGCTCATTTGGTGATCATAATTCATGCACAATATATACATGTCTTATAACTGTCATATTCTTAAAATTTTCATCTCGAATTTAATTCAGTTCACAGCAGTTCCTGTACTTACTTTCAAGCAGTAGTTCATTTGTTGCTTTTATATTAGAGCTTTTCTAGAAAGTCTTGAGTAGTACATATGAACCAACCTTTGAATTTTGACTTAAATTTCGTTATCACAGACGACGAACCCTCGCTTGCTGATGATGTAGCAGTCGACCAAGAAGGAAATGCATACATTACAGACGCGAAATCAAGCAAGATATGGAAAGTAGACATAAATGGGAAACTTGTCTCGGTCATAAGAAACAGCCTCTTCCGGATAAAAGAATGGCACAGTAACTTTGTCGCCCTCAACGGGATCATCTACCATCCCAACGGTTATCTCCTCGTTATCCACACAGCCAGCGGGAAACTGTTCAAGGTTTATCCTTCGACGGAACAGGTAGAGATTGTCAAAGTTACAGGCTCTCTCTTTATGGGAGATGGTTTAGAGATTCTGTCGACGAGCAAAATAGTAGTGGCTGGTTCTCTTGCTACCAGGATGGTTGAGAGTTTTGATGATTGGGAGACTGCAACGGTAACCGGGAGGTATGTGGGCCCTCTATACAGGATTGCGTCAGCGGCGACGGTGAAGGATGGGAAGGTGTATGTTAATCATCTTGTTGGAGGGGGTTTGAAGAAGAGGAGTCATGTGATTGCTGAGGCTGTTTTTACTCCTGCGAGTTCAATAAAGAAGATTATGGACTTTTTGTACTATTGATTGGGTATTTGTTTGATGATGAATGTTTTTTTTTTGGGTCAAGATGGTGAATGTATTTGGTTTTTCTTTTTCTCTCTCTCTTATTTTGAGTTTCTGCTAATAATTTGAGGATGATAAAATATATTTATCATGTTACCATCTTTTTTGGAGCTGATTGTATGGCCTCTTTGAACTCCACATAACATTATTTCTCCATTTTTGTTGAGATGTTCGCCTGGTAATCACATGATATTAAATTATCCTTTTATTCTAAGTTTAAGCCCTTTAATTTGAGGATAAATTAAAGAGTGACACCGTATGAGTTTCAGTAGACGTCAACGCTAATAAAATAGTGATACCACCATAATTCAAGAGGATACTTTCGCATATAACATTTATTTTTATTTTGTCCATTTTGTTGATGTCATTAGATGGTTCTCCGAGCTGTGAATTATGAAAGAGTAAGTTTCTTGAAACCTTGCATCTATCCACGACTTCTTTTATTCATTTTCTTGATTTATTTATTTCTCTTTGAGAGAAAAAAAAAATAGTTTGTTTTTTTATTGATTTCTTTGTCATTTCTGCCATTTAATTAAATGTACGAGTAAGATTATAATATGTCAGATTATCAGGTATTCTTTTCTATTATCTTTCTATTGTTATTTTTTCCCCCGACACTAAGTGGTTTTTTTATCAGATTCACCGTTTAATTTGTCACTCTTCTATCTAGAAGTGGAACATGGCCTTCTATGGACCCATTTGAAAGAAACATTTTTTTATTCTTTTTTGTTTTTTGTTTTTCTCAAGAAACTTTTGCAGCAGCATCCACAGTAGAGTCCCCACGTTGTTTGCAGCATCACCACCAGCAGAAGCCTTCAAGTTACTTGTCCTTGTGAAAGTCTATCATTAGATTATGACTCTGAAAATTTGAGAGTTATAGTTTTATATTCTTATATATCTTTACAAGTTGAGTATTTTTTATGGGCCATGTCAAGGATTTGAACCTAGATTGCTCTAATATTCTCTTAAATTAAGTCTCTCTATCCATTACACTGTAACTCCGAAGTTTTTGTGAATGTTGATGATTATATTTTTATATCCTAATATTACTCTAATATCAGCCACATTGTTCAATATAGGACTATATCTGGCAGACATATTCCCTAGCCGTAAGCACAAAGATATAAAAGACTTCATTATCTGATATCCAAGGAATGCAATTGCTTTTGATGAAACTAGCAAAATCGACCCCCGCGATGCCACAACATTAGCTTGAAAAAAAATCATAATAAATAATATTTTTAGTATTTGGTTCAAAAATACATCATACTTCTAACCACTTAGAAAAAAAATATACCAAATAGCATGAAAATGAAGTTAAAAAAGTACAAACCTCGATTTACATAATTGTTAGAAAAAACTTTAAGGTTTCAAAGTTAAAAAGGTGTAAACATTAAAGTGGTTTGTACTTTTTAACTTCTTTTGCACCCTCCAATTATGTTTACACCCTCCAATTTGCTAACAATTATGAAAATGGCACCCTCTTTTTTTGCAAAGCCTCTACCTCTAATGTGTAAGTCATTAAAGCCATCCTCATTATCTTTGCAAAATGTCTCTGGCCTCTCTGTAAACTACTCTAAGTCAAATCTCTTCTACCTTGAAAAAATTCCCCACAAAAGTACGCAATTAGCAAATATCCTTAAATGCTCTGTTGGATCCATTCCTTTCTCTTACCTAGGGCTTCTCTGAAAAGAGGATCTCTCACTAGACGTGAATGACAACCACTGCTTGATTCTTTCACTAAAAAACTTGCTCTATGGAAAAACAAATCCCTCTCCATAGGTGGCAGACTCACCCTCATCAACTCTGTCCTCTCATCCCTACCTCTTTACCATATGTCCTTTTTCAAGCTTCCTACCTGGCTCACTAAGGGATTAGAAGAAATTTCCTTGGGGGGGGGGCAGGGGGGCAACAATCAACCTAGCAAAGTCAAAAATCTGGTCAGATGGGGTGTTGTCTACAAAGGTAAAAGTTCAAGGGGGCTTGGTATCCTTGAATTACATTCTCTTAATCAGGCCCTCTTCTCTAAGTGGATTTGGAAGTTTTTCGACAGAGATTTTGTGATCAGTAGAGTTATATTCTCTATTTACTCTTCTAATTACTCCAACCTAGTTTCTAATCCTCCTAAGAGTCATGCATCTTAGTTCATCCACGATCTTCATGTTATCCATCCCCTTTCTTCAGTTTGTCTAGGTGGTCTTTAGGGGATGGCAACACATGCAAGTTCTGGTCTGATAAGTGGACTGGGGACAACTCCCTGAGTAGCCTTTTCCCTAAGGCTCATTCACTGGCTTTCTCTCTTGCTTGCTCTGCCATCTCCCAGGGCACATGGTCTCAACTCCTCTGGAAATGGCAATCTCTACTTAGAAGAGTCATCACTTCTAAGGACAGATCCAGCATTGCCCACCTTCTTGCCTTCATTGAACATGTTCAGCCTTCCAGACATTACCTCGACTAGGTCCGGTGGCCACATCACCCATCTGGTATCTATTCAGTTAAGTCTCTTTATTCTATCCTCAATAATGGAGGCATAGTATCCTAATTTTACCATTATATTTGGAAGTCATCAAGATGTTTCTTTTGATCCTTAGCAAGAATAACTTCAATCGAAAGCAAATTTGCTCCATAAGGGATGGTCAGGTAATCCCCTCTGCCCTTTATGTAACATTGAACTGGAGACCCAAAACCACCTCTTCATCTCCTGATCCTTCGCCTCTGAAGTATGGTCCATCCTCCTCCCTTCATTTAATACCAGCTGCTGACCCAAGGAGGTGATTAATATAATTACCCAAATGGAGAATTTCCTCTCCAACCGTAGCCTCATTGCTATCTGGAAGGTTATTCTTCCATGTATTTGTTGGTGTATATGGTCCAGTCGCAACAACCATGTATTCAATAACTCTTCTGTTTCAGCACAGTATATTGCTTCTAACGTGGCTCGCTTAACCCTGCTCGGACAGGAGCCTCTGGAAGCAGGAGATCTAAGAAAATGCATTGTGCCGCGATTGATCTTGGTATGCAGGATATTGCTAAAACAACGGGTGAAGATGTGTTCGGAGAAAACTTTGCTCCTGCGGTCTAGGCAGACTCCTCTTGTTGGTTCTCTTTCTCTATTGCATCCCTCTTGTTGGCGCCTCCAGTAGCAGTTGGGTTTCCTCCATGCTCTGAGCTGCCATTGAGCTTGGATTTAAGAGGTTCGTTAATCATGGTATTGTTGTTGTTGTGGGGGACAATCTTTCTGTTTTGATCTAGCCTTGTGAAGTTTGCAGCCACTCTTTTACTCTTTTGGAGCTGATTCTGTAACTAACTTATGATGACTTTTCTTTCTGGCCAGCCCCTCTCCTCTTTCTGGCTAGCTCTTGTTTTGTTTCTTTTCTCTTTCTTTATATGGCTTTTCAGGTATTTTTCCCATAATAGGGGTTTTCTCGTTATAGGAAGCTTTCAAATTGTTGCAAAAGCGCGTGTGACCCCTAGCTCGATGAGTTATTCAGAGTTCATTCACTGGGCCCAAGCGTTCTCTAACGAGAACCTTGCCTCGATCTTCGTGCAAAGGACCTAGGTGGTTCATCATTGTTTTCTTGCCCTTGGATATGTCCACACTGTCGCGGAGCTTCACCGGAGGTGCAGTATTAGAAGGAGCGAGATCTGAACTTGACGAAAGCTGGGAACCAGCTTTGGATCTGGAATCGAGCGAGAGACACGACTGGTGTCTCTCGTCGGGTAGAAGCGTTGACTTGGCATTCAACACCTAAACCTGCTTAGTCTTAGTGGCCTTTTGAACACCTCTTCTTTTTGTAATTCTTGTGCTTTATGCACAAGGATCCGGGCGTGTACAAGAAGTGTGCGATGCTTCTGAATGCGCTCCACCAGAGTGGAACGGTTCTGTTTGACACGAATTCATTCGTTAGTAGGTGATTTGGAGAAGAATCCTGAAGCTTGTTATGGTGATGGTTTAGCCACTTGACGTCTCCTGGACTTCAGATCCGCTTAGTAGCGGAGCCCATCCACTTGCTCCAAAAAGAATTGACGGGTGAGACGTTGGCGGCGCCTCTGATGAGCCCTCTTTGATAGAGTTGGCGCGCCTTTAGCAGTCGACTCCTTAATGGAGGTGGCGTTCGGATCTGCGGCTTTGGCTTCATCGTACACCGATGGATCGTGGCGAGGTGAAACTGTAGCTGCGGTAGCGGGGAGATCACCTTCTTAGGTCTTCAAATTGAAGACCAGCGGATCATCCGGGAGGAGGAGACCTTCCTGCACTTGCGAGGAGAGGTGGATCTGGAGGAGGAGGAGGAGACGTACTCCTCAAACTTCTGTTGTTCGAACTCGTATTCAACCTCTTCAGTCACGGGGATCTTGATCGTCGACTGCGGCACGACAGCCTTGGCAGTAAGGATGTTAGCTTCTACTGTAGTCGCCAGCTTGTTTGGTGTGAAAATTGATTTCTTTATTGAGGTATTCATTACAACTTCAGTCGTTGCAATGAAAACAAAAGGATAGTCTTTTTATAAGACTTTACACAATGAAAACAAAAAATTACAACTCTCGTCAAAACAAACACAACGGACATTTATCACCTGCTATTTGTGTGGGATTTTTGCTTGTGTCAGGGTTTATTCGTGGACCACCGAACGATGAGATCTAATCCGGAGTTTTGTTGATTCGCGAAGGAATCAAAAAACCGAAGTAATTATCTCGGCAACAGCGAGATAACCACTCTTCTCGAGATCGCAGCTAGGTACGATCTCAAGGGAAGGAACCGGGCTATAGATCTGACAAACTCCTCTTCCTTATACCGAAGAACTCGATCTGATCTTCTCTTCTTCTCTGAAATTCATGCTCATTCAGTCTCCAATTTCGCAGGGCTTCGTCGAGGCCCGAGAATTCTAGATATGTGCAAATGAAGGACCTAAAGCTGTATTTATAGGCTTCGGGACCTCTGTTTTCGGATAAGAATGACTGATTCGATCTTATCCTTAATTATAACTACTTTATCATGTTCTTGGATAATATTAGATCAGTTGAAACAAACCCAGACAGTTAACAGTTGAAAACCGCTTAAAAACCTTAAAAAACGGCTTTTTGGGGCTGCGGACACCCGCAATGTCTCGGCCTTGGCCGAGACACTCGTAGTGTCTCCACCAAGGCCCGGGCATAGTTCAGGCGCGTGTCCTGTTTGTTTCCGCTGTATCTTTGTCGTCCGAACTCAGAATTATGCTATTCAAAGTGCGTATGAAAGCCGACGAGGAGATCTACAAGCTCCCATGGTTGAATCATACATGGAGTAGACGGGACACGAGAGGCACTTTGTTTTTTCGTAAGTGAAGCGTGACTCTCGATCAGCTCGTATTTTTGTTATTCTGTTGTTCTGTTGTTTCATACGGTTTGTCGACTCACTTCATGCGCTTGTCGACGTCAGATAATCCTCTTTGACTCGAATAATGACGTTCATCGTCTCCTCTTCATCTCGAGTTGCGTGCGGGAACCTATAGGTATTTTTAGACGCCTACAGGGGCCACAAGCACGTGAACAGCTTCACGTGAACACACCCACGCGCTGAAGGAAGTCAAGCGCTGAAGTGGCCCAGGTGCGGCCCAAACTGCACAACTTCTAGGCTCTCTTATAAATCCCGATTTCTTCCTAGGTTTTCGGGTGAGAGAACGTAGAAGAAAAAAAAAACTTGCGGTTGTGAGGGTTTTTTGGCGGCTGTCATTTTGAGAAGAAAAAGCAGAGAGCCTTTTTTAGATTAAGGAGAGAATTGAAGGAGAGATTTGAGAGTTTTGTTTAAGAGATTAAATTGTGAGTTTTGAGTGATTTTGTAATCTCTATTTGTACTCTCTCTTTATTTGTAAAATCTCTCTCCTCCTTGCCCCGTGGACGTAGGCAACTTGCCGAACCACGTAAAATTCGTTTATCTTGCTGTTATTGTGATTTGTAATAGCATGTTTGGTTCCCTCGACAAGTCGGTCCTAGAACTGATGAGAGGAAGAGTGTATATCCCACTTTGTTAAGATATATCGCTATCAATTCTTGTTTCCTTTGTGAAACAGGAATTTTAGTTGTGATCTTACTCTTTTGTTGTGCAACAAAGGTGCTGCCGAAATTTTCGATGCGCACAACAAATAATACAAATAACAAGTCGTGATAAAAATTTAACGAATATTTAATAGACAAAGAAATCAAATATACATCTAGTTAAATTCTATTTGTTAGTAAACTCGAATACTAAAAAATATTTGTTTAGTGGTAAATAAACTACTAAATCGAATATGACTGAATAGTTATTTGAACAATTATCGAACTATTTATTAATTATTTGGTTCATTTCCACCCCTAGAGCTAAGGGGCTGTTTGGATCTGTTTTTTGGATGAGTAAAAGGGGAAAAGCTGCCAAAAATGTTAGTTTTTTAGCTGCTTTCCCTCAAAATCGTCTCTATAAGGCGATTTTGAGGGAAAAGCTGCCAAAAAGCTGACATTTTTTACAGTTTTCCCCCCTTTTACCCATCCAAAAAACAGATCCAAACAGCCCCTTAGCTCTAGGGGTGGAAATGAACCAAATAATTAATAAATAATTCGATAATTGTTCAAATAACTATTCAGTCATATTCGATTTAGTAGTTTATTTTGGGGGAAAGCTGTCAAAAAGCTGTCATAAAGTTAATATTTTTTGCAGCTTCCCCCCTTTTACCCATCCAAAAAACAGATCCAAACAGGGCCTAGAAAGGCAGAAAGCTTTGTCGGCTTGAAGTTCCCTAAAGTCTACATATTTGATCACACTTCAACCCGATCGAACCATCAAACTCACAAGATGACATTGGGAATCCAAACCAGCTTCTGAAATTCTCATTATTCATTAAGAGAGTGTACTTTATCGCATAATTTTTCTTATCTACATAATTTTTTGTAATTATCTGTATAGATTTTCTGATTTTCTGAAAATTTCACATATTCTAACAGCCTTAATTACTGATAAAAAACACCCAATGTAATAATGCCGCATAACCAGAGAGCGAAGGTAAGAAAACAGAAAAATTCCTAAGGACCCAAAATATGGGACTAATAGGGGGGGACAAGTGAGGTGTCTCTCTCCTATTGGATAATGAGTTGGTTAATGATGACAAACTCATTATCCAATAGGAGAGGGACACCTCACTTGTCCTCCTATTGGTCTCATATTTTGGATCCATGTATCAAAGCTCAAGAAAACATCATGATCGAACCGTTGACAAGTATACACGTGTCGCCATCGCAAGCATCCACGTCGATAATTCCTAAATCAGTATAAAACTGCGAGCGCGTTCAATCTCTCCCGTTTCTGCCTTCTGATTTTTTTCCCACTGGTAAAATTCGTCGTCGTGTCTAACGTGCGCCTGCGGGAGAGGATCTTATCGTGCGCCGGCCATGGCGGAGAAGCACAACATGAAGAACCCGGCGGTGAAGCGGATCCTTCAGGAGGTGAAGGAGATGCAGTCGAATCCGTCCGATGATTTCATGAGTCTCCCTCTCGAGGTAATAATCCCCAATTTCTCCTTCCCCTAAAAGTAAACCCTAACCCTAACCCTAAAACTTGGAGCCGATCTGTCTAATTCTAGCTTTTCGGCTTCATAATTGCTTGATATGCTTCGAGATTTGCCCAAAAGTCCCCAAATTTTTTTTGCTCCTGAATAAACAACCCTAATAAATTTTTGGAGCTGATCCATCGTTTCTTCCAAAAGAAGACCCAAACCCCAACCGTAAATTTGGTGCCGATCCGTACGTTTCTACGGCTCTAGTGTTAATTGTTTGAGTTTTCCCCAAATTGCGATCTATTTTGTTTCTAGTCCAGGGATTACTAATTTTTTTTGTAATATTTTAGAATTTGAAGGAAAGATGTGAGCTTTTTTGTTCTGTAATGAGATTTCGTACTGACGTAAGTGGGGCTATTAGATTCTCTATGTCAATCCAAAATTTGGATGGATGCTTTGGAAATTTAGGCGATCGTCCAGACTCTAGATTTTCCAGATCAGATGTTATTTAGTACTTTGAATAACTGGACTTTATGTGCAGTACATTGCTTGTATATACTAAGCTTCTCACGTGAAAAATTCAGATTTGAGCATAAAGTCTGGCTTAAATAATTGGTCTAAGTTGATCGTAGCTGAGCCCGCTAAGTAAAGTTGGCAAGGGGACGTATACTTATATGTGTTTATTTTCAGACTGTTAGTTAGTTCCTTTGAAATCAGGTTGTTTCATGTGTGCATGTAAACAAAACCTCATGGTCAGGTTTTAAACAGGACAAGACATTGAAACAGAAGGAAATTACGAAATTCATGGCTGTCAAAATACTAAAGATTCTCTCCTGTTCTGACCCATTATTCAACTTCAAATTTCTTCCAGTGGTGTCTTATATATAGTAGAGAAGTTCTAATCTTTAGTTGAGCATGTTCTCTCCCTTTGGGATTTGATGCTTTTATGGTGATAGATGGGTGTGTCGAAAGTGTTCTATAAGTTATTTCTTCTGCATAGTTTTGATTAAATCTAAGCATATATACTCTGAGGTTTCTTCCTCTCTCTTGGAAAATAAAAAGAGAATACTGCCTTCTGCTTAATGATTTAAGTATTGGGTGCTTTGTATAGGCCTTCTGTACTTTGCCTTGGTTCTTCTGTAGTTACTGGAGGTGTTAGAAATCAATCACATGCGAAATTCTACTCAAGCTTTTATTTAAACTTCTCCTCTGTGTGAGTTTGATTCCGTTAACTCAAAGGGCTTGATAATTTTGTTTATTTGTGTCGAGATTTCTCTATCTCAATGTAAAAGAGCTCTTCTTCCCTATCAGCCGAAATCCATATGTTGTCAAGAGGCTTGTGTAATCCTATGTGGTCTTTTTTGGTAGTTGTTCGGGAGTTTAGTGATATGGCATTAGTGAAATGCTGGATCTTTCCAAAATTTTCTACTAATCTTCATCTTATGTCTGCCATTTTTTCTTCAGGAAGATATATTTGAGTGGCAGTTCGCAATTCGGGGGCCTCGTGATACTGAATTTGAGGGAGGAATCTTCCATGGGCGGATCCAATTGCCCACGGAATATCCATTCAAGCCACCATCTTTCATGTTGCTAACTGTAAGACCACCATTTAATATTTAATTTTTCTCCTGATAGTTGTTTATTTGGTTTATCTATAATCATCCATTTCCAATTCTTTTAGTTAACTATTTTTATTTGTTTTTCCAGCCGAATGGTCGCTTTGAAACACAAACAAAGATATGCTTGAGCATATCAAATTATCATCCCGAGCATTGGCAGCCATCATGGAGTGGTATGCAATATTACATTTAATTTCAGGAGTATTGGATGTTACCTTATTTTCTAAGAGTTTCATTTAAAGCATTCTGAAAATAATACCTCATAATAAAAGTTGGGAGTGAAATAAACATGCACTTGCTTGGTTTCAGTGTTCTTATATTTTTGCACCAAATTTTCATAATATATAGTATCATCTGTCCATCTGTAGACTATACAAATACAACACCCTAGAAGTAGAAATTCTTCTCTAATTTGGAATTTGGGTTGGCACACATCATTTTGACCAGTGACCACCATGGAGTAGATGTCTAAGTGCCTCTTATTCGATGTAATATTATGTCCTTCGCCATCATTTTTAAATTTGTTGTTGTGTTTTGAGGCATAATTGATTTCATGTGTGTGCTGAGTCACATACATTTGTGATATTTCCTTTTGTTTCGTTTTCAAGAGCATGATTTATACTGCTTTTTTATATCATAATTATTATATGGCTCCCAGCCAGCTAACAAGATCCAATTGCTTGATTCTGAAAGTGATTTTTCTGATCTCAGGAATGGGTAAAGGTATGAAATGTTTTCAACTTGATAATTTCATAAGCACCTACTAAATTTCATACTCCTTTCTTTTCTTTGTAATTTGGGTGATACAAGGAATATCTTTGTTGCCAGAAATCATTTCAGTGTTTGTCTTTGACTATGGACGTGATTGAAAAAATTGGCATTGATGAACTGCCATTATATATTTGACTGCTTATGGTCTCCATGTATTCAGTTAATATCTTCAGCACTATAATTCATTGTCTGCTTTATCTCTAGGTTTGTCGACTGTATTTGCATGTTGATATATCAGTATTTTTGTTATCAGGATTCGAAAATGTTATTTAATATTATCTTCCATCAAGTACTTGATTAATGAAAGAGACATCAAAACTTACTATTATTTCTTCAATTGATACGCTGGCATTGTATTCTTAATGCAATGGATCCAACTATCCAAATCCAACTATCCAAATATAGCAATTTGAAAATCGATCTCCAAGTGGATCTTGTAAGATCTAACACAAATTCAACCCGTTTCCACCCCGTCTAGCATGACTGTATATGTTGCATGTTGATAGTATTAGAACACCACCAAAGTTTCAGTCTACCAAATTTTGTACAAGCATGGTGCAAGAGTAATCCTTGTTGTCATAACTCATTAGTTTCGACCTATGACTAATGAAAATGACATGACAGGTTCTGTTACATCTCTTCATTTTATATAGTGGGGGTATATTCTTCTCATCTTTGTTACCTTATGGGAGAGCAAGATAATTTCACCGTCTGCTCTTATCTGTTGGTTTGTAGACTCTATGAGCGTGGTGGTATATCAAGCTCTTTGCGGTCAGATATCTAAGCAACTCTTTGTCCATCAACTTGATCAGTTAAACATATTGAATTATTAAATGTCCTTTATTTTAGATAAAAATGTGGCTGATAACTTTTATACATGGACATTAATACAAGCAGCGCTTCTGAAAGTTGCATGCCCTGTGTATCTTTTATGGGGAAAAAAAAACAAATAGCTCGAACATAATCTAGAGTTTGATTTACCATTTTAAAGATCTATAAAAAAATCTGCTAACGAAATTACTTTTAGCTACTGCATGCTCCGAGTCAATATTTTAGAAAGCACTAGGCGTTTCTGGCCGCTTACTCTAGTGCCTAGGTATGTGTTTAAGTGGTGCTAGATGTTTTTAGCACAAGAGGAGGATGCATTTTTAGTTATTTTGATCCAATAGCAATTATTTATGCAGATTTCTAATTCATTATTTTCATGGGCTACCCATGATTTTTGTCAAAATTTTTGTTCATTTTGACCCAATGACAATTAATTATGCATACTTCAAAATTCATGATTTTCATGGGTTGTCGCCTACAATTTTTAAGATCCAGGAATTTTATGGGCTAAATCCACGATTTTTGTCAATTTTTTGGTTTGATATTATCACAATTAACTTCTTTCTTTAAAACGCATGAAATGATTGTCAATTTTTGTTCTTTGATCTAGTGACACATAAGTATGTGTTTATTTAAATCACCAATTACTGAAGGATTATCCCCCAAATTTTGTCCATTTTTCTCCATTTCAACAAAGGAGACCAATTAGGCATACAATACAAAATTTAAAATTTACACTGGTTATAAACCATGATTTTTGTCAATTTTTGTTCTTTGACCCAATGACAAATAAGATGTGTAATTCAAAAGCATGAATTTCAAGGACTATAGTCCATGATTTTGTCATTTTTGTTCGTTTTAGCCCAATATCAATTAATTTTGTGAACATCAATATTCACATTTTCTTGGGCTATAACCCATGATTTTTTCCATAATCGTTCAATTGACCAAATGATAACTAATTATGATTACTTCAAAATTCTTGATTTTAATAGATTATAGCCCGTGATTATAGTAATTTTTGTTCGTTCACTCCAATGACTAGTAATTATAATACTTCAAAATTTGCAATTTTCATATGATGTATAACCTATGATTTTTGTCAATTTCAGTTCTTCAATCCATCGACAATTAAGTAGGCATAATTCAAAATCTGTAATTTACATAAGCTATAGTCCATGATTTTGGGTCTATTTTTGTTGGTTTTGACCTGAAAACAAGTAATTGTGAGAACTTAAATATTTACGATTTTCATGTGCTATAAGCCATATGATGCTTGTCGATTATCAGTCATTCGATTATTGGGGCAATTTTTGTTTGTTTCAAAATACACTATTTTATTAGCTGTAACCCACGTTTTTCTTTCGACAATTTTCGTTCTTTAACCTAATGACAAGTAAGTATTTCAAAATTTACAATTTTCATGTCCATAATTTTTGTCCATTTTTGTTCATTTCGACTCGATAACAATTGTGTGAACTTCAATATTTGCAATGTTCTTGGGCTATATCCTATGATCTTTGTCAATTTTGTCAGTTTGACCCATTAGCACTTAATTATGCGTACTTTAAAATTCGCGACTTTCATTGGTTATTACCCTCGATTTTCAAAATTTACATTCTTTTAGGGCTATGGTGATAATTTTTGTTTGTTTCTACCCAATACCAATTAATTATGCAAACACAATATTTGTGATTTTCATGGGCAACTCAATTTTTGTTTGTTTTGACCTAATAGGAAAAAATGATGCATACTTCAAATTTGCGATTTTCATGAGTTATTACTTGTGATTTTCAAGATTCGGGAATTTTGTGGGCTACAATTCATGATTTTGAAAGTTCGGGGATTTTATGGGTTATAACCCATGATTTTAATCATTTTTCATTCATTTCGATCCATTGGTAATTAAGCTTTTTCTGGAAGTCATGATTTTCATGAGGCTATAACCAACGAATTTTGTCTAGTTTCATTTTTTAACCAAATGACACGACATTTGTATACTTACCTTAAATTTTACAATTTGCATGGGGTTTATCCCACAAATTTTGTTCATTTTTGTCAGTTTCAACCTAATGAGAATTAATTAGTATGTTTCAAAACTGGCAAATTTTCATGTGCTATTATCCATCATTTTTGTCAATTTTTGTTCTTTTATCCAGTGGAAAATCAATATGCATTCAAAATTCGTGATTTTTATGGACTATAGCCCATGATTTTTATCCGTTTTTGTTCTTTTTGATCCAATAGCAATTACTTTTGCAAACATTAGTATTGATGATTTTTATGGCTAATAATGATTTTTGTTCTTATCATTCATTTGAAATGATAGCAATTATTATGATTTATGACTACTTTAAAATTTGCAATTTTGAAGAGTTATAACCCACGATTATGGTCATTTTTTAGTTTCTTTCCTATGACTAGAAACTATATGTACTTCAAAATTTGATTCGTGGTTTTTATGGGCTATAACTTATGATTTTCATAGGTTATTACAACCTATATTTTTGTCAGTTTTTGTCTTCAACTCAATTCGATTCGTTGTTTTTATGGGCTATAACTCATGATTTTCATAGGCTATTATAAATATATTATTCTCAGTTTTCGTCTTCAAGTCGATGGCAAATAAGTATGCTTACTTCCATATTTGTTATCTTCATGGAACATTCTTTATTATTTTTGTTCATTTTTGTTCATTTTGACCCAACAACAACTGATTGAGCAAATTTTAATGTTCATGATATAATATCATCTAAGTTGCATTGAAACGAGTAAGAGTGTTGTCGTGCTAGTACGGGTATATGTATGACACAACAAATTTGTAGAAGGCAATGTACGGGGACACGACTATATAATTTTTTTTATACACATACATATATACATATAAAATATTAGAATTAATAATTCATAGGAGATCAATATTGTTTTTCACTCACGTGTTATGAGAACTGTAACTCCTATATTATTTTTATTTCTCTTTTATTATGTCCATTATAATTGGAAATCTTTTTTTTTTGAGCTAGACGTCCAAACAACCCTTTAAAATAATAGTTTGAAAACCGACATATGTCCACTGAGTTTTAGGAAGTGTTTGTGAAGTGTAGGATATGTGTCTAAGAAGCGTATGAGAAGTGTTTTAACTTGGAACGTATATTGCATACGTGAGTACCTGCCAGAATAATTATATTTATATATGCTAGGATTGTCGGAGGATGGTAAGAATAAGGGTACATGTACTTGTCATCTGCGAGTGCTTCTTCGGTTAGGAGTACTCAGGTAACAGACTATTGATCATTCGATAATTATGGCTATGCTAATTGGCACTTAAATACCACAAAGTTTTCCCATTTTGGCACTTAAGTAGCATACCTAGTTTTTCATGGCATTTAAAGTTGTTTGCCATTAGTTTTTTGACAGAAGGACAAAAATGCCCTTCCCATAGTTGATTTTAATCTCCTGGTCTTCTTCTTTCTCCGTCAAAAGAGGCTCTAATATTTTCTCAAATCTCTTTTTTAATCCTAATAATGTTCTCATTCACAAGTAATTTTAGCCATTTCTCCTTCAGTTTCATCTCCTGTCTCAATTTCCTTCCATTATTCTCAATTTCTCCACACCATCATTGTTAATCCCTTGTCATCTTCTCCCACACGACATGGTTGTGGATAGCGGAGGAAAGCGGTAAGGCACTGCTTAAGCTTTCTTGGGTTTAAACGCTTCAAAGCGAAAAAAGCGTTAGGAACAAACAATCCAAAATCCTATTAAAATTTTAAATGTGTATAAACAAAAACAATTGAGTTCAAATACAAAGCAGAGCACCAGAGCGGTAGAGGCACTTCCTTGCTACGCTATTGGTAATAGCAACTGAGTTTAGCGGAGTTTGCATTATTTGCTCTCAATAGTAGCAAATAACACGACTTAGTAGCAAATAGCGCTTTTCAATTTTTATTTGCATTCATTTGTGGCGCAATTGCACTTATATGACCTATAGTTTGCCTGACCTTGCACTTAAAGTGACCTTTTTTCTTCAAACCATTAAAAAAATGTCCCAAAGTATTTAAGTTTTGCAAATAAATACCCCAAAGTTTTAAAATATTGCAAGTTGATGCCCTCAAATGCCTCATTTTGTAAACGGCTTCACTTAAATACCCTAAAGTTTCTAAGAGTTTCACTTTAGTACACTGTTATGTGATGTAGATAAAAGATAATGCCATCTTGGTTTTTTTAAACTATGGGCCATTCATTTGCAACACGTAATTACTTTGGGGTATTTTTTTTGTTTGGCTTGATACTATAGGGCATTCAAGTGCAAGGTCAAGGAAGTTATAGGGCATTTAAGTGCAATTAAGTCTTCATTTTTTTACATGAACCCGAGCTAAAAACCGATCATTTATTTAACTCTTCCTGCTTCATTTCTCTCACCACTCTGATTTGAATGGAAACATGAAGAGAGAAAAACTCTAGATCGTCATTCACCTCCTCTTCCACTCCAACTTTGGCACCTCCACCACTCATATCTGAGCCCCTCATTGTCGCCTCATCTCCGAACCTCTTTACCACTACCTCCACCACCTTCTCATCTTGAAACTCTTCTACTGTCGCATCGACCAACTCCTTTGCTTCAAGCTCCTTTAGCGCCGCTTCCTCAGTATCTTCAAGCATCTCTTCTTTGCCTCAGCATCTTCGAGCTCCACCACCTCCCCAACTCTCTTATCGCCGCCTCAGCACAGTACTTTTGTTAATGTTATGCGATTCTCACACGTCTATTCCATGCCTTGTAGCTCTATAAATCATAAAATATGCATTCATAGAACTTTTAGATTTTTATTAAAATTTTCTTATTATTCTTGAATATTTATACATATTTAAACTGAATCACTTTTTGATTTTGCGCTTTTTGTTGTTTTTTGCCATTATAGCCCAAAATAGCCTTAGCATTGCCTCATTGCTACGGGACGCAATCCACTTTCCATTACATTGATTGAAAGTGCTTGAGAAGAATTTAAAATTAGAAAATTGTTGAGGCGGAACTTTTTTGGGTTTCTAGGGTTTTTTTTGGTTTCACATGGAGATGATTTTATTTGAGTAGACTAATCGAGGAGGCTATAGCGTCGAGAGTGCTTTGACAGAGGAGAACTTATGATATTTAAGTGCCACAAAAAACAACTTATGGTATTTAAGTGCCAAAATGGGAAGACATTGTGGTGTTGAAGTGTCATTTGGCCTTATGACCGTAGTTGCCTTGTTTGTCCATTGTCGTTCATTCTGTCCAATTTGCTATTAATCGCCCATTAGTTATAATCGACGATTATGGTAATTTTTCTCTGTTTTGGCCCAATAGTAAGGAACTGTGCGTACTTAAAAATTCACGATTTTCATGAGTTTATAACTTGCAAATTTTGTCAAATTTCGTTTTGCGACGCAATAGTAGATAAGGATGTGTCCTTTAAAAGTGATTTTTCATGGGCTAAAATACCCTTTGTCTATTTTCGACAACAATTAATGGTGTTAATATTTGCCTTTTTCATGGGCTATAACCTACAATTATTTTCAATTTTTGTTCATTTCGGCCTAATTGCAAATACTTATGCATACTTCAAAACTTGTGACCTTCATAGGCTGTTATCCGTGATTTAAAAAATTGGATTTTCAAGTGTGTTTTTTTGTCAATTTTCATTCTTTGATCCAATGACAACTAAGTATGCGTACCTTGAACTTAATTGTTTTTGTTATCCTTGATTTTAAAAATTAGATTTTCATGGTTTTTTGTGCCAATTTTTGTTCTTTGATCCAATGACAACTAAGTATGCGTACCTTTAACTTAAGGGTATGTTTGGATTTGTAGGGGGTGAAGGGAAGTTAAGGGAAACTGAGAGAAGGGAAGGGAAGGGAGTTCCCTTCCCCTTGGTTACACCCCAATTTGGGGGGTAACAAATTTTATAGTATTAGGGGGTGAACCAAGGGGAACTAGGGTGAATTAACTTCACCTCCTAAGTGTTCCCAAACAAGGTGAATGGTTCCCCTAACTTCCCTTCACCCTCATTCTCCTCAATCCAAACAAGCCCTAATTGTTCAAGGGTTTATCCTATGAGATTTGCCCTTTTTGTTTGTTTTAACTTGACAATTAGTTGGGCGTACATTTCAAAATTGGCAATTTTCATAAATTGTTGGTCACAATTTGTTTTTCAATTTTCATCCTTTGACCTAATTGCTTGTGCTTTATTCAAAATTTGTGATTGTATGCAACGTAGTCCACGATTTTTGTCCATTATCGTTCATGTGAGACAATGACAATTAATTATGTCTACTTCAAAATTTGCGTTTTTGATGCCTTATAACCTATGATTATGATAATTATTTTGGTTTCGTCCTATTGGCAATAACTTGTACGTATTTCAAATTTAGTTTTCATGGTCTACAACCCTCAGTTTTTTTGTCAATTTTCTTTATTCAACACAATGACAACTACGTATGCGTTTTTAAAATTCACTAGTTTTATGGGCTATAGTCTTTTTTTTTTTACCTAAAAGCGCGATATATTTTGTGAACTTTAGTACTTGTAGCATTCATGGCTATAATCCATGATTTGTGTCCATTTTTGTTAGTTTCGGCCAAGTTATAATTTAGCTTTCTTTCATAAAAACCATATTTTTCATTGGGTATGACATTGCTTTTGTGATTTTTTTCTCAGGCCAAATGAGAAATAAGTATGCATACTTCAAAATTTGTGATTTTCTTGGCTATATCCGTCATTTTTGTTAATTTTTATTTTTTCAACCCAATAAGAATTAATTGTGGGAATTCCAATACTCGTGATTTTCATGGGATATAGTGTGCGATTTTTGTCTAATCATTTATTTGACCCAATGATAATTAACTATGATTGCTTCGAAATTCGTGATTTTGATGGGTACCCATGGTTTTGATAATTTTTATTTGTTTAGTCCTAATGGTAAGTAATTATACATAGTTTAGAATTCGCAATTTTCATGGGCTTATGCCCATGATTTTTAATAGTTTTGGTTCTTTGACTAAATAGCATACAAGTATATGTGTGTGCTCCGACCCAATAGAAATTAATTGTGCAAAGTTCAGACATTTGCAATTTTCATGGGCTACAACTAAGATTTTTGTCCGTTATTGTTCATTAGATCGAATGGAATTTAGTTAGGATTACAAGATTTGTGTTTCTAATGGGTGACAAGACAAGATTATAATAACGTTTTTCAATAGAAAGTACGTACTTAAAATAATCGATTTTATAGAATAATGGCTCACGCTTTTTTGTTAATTTTTTTGACATAATGATAGCTAAGAATGTGTACTTCAAAGTTTGTGATTTCATGGGTTATTATAACCCATGATTTTTCTCAATTTTTGTTTTTCGATTCAATGACAACTAAGTATGCGTAATTGAAAATTCGTGATTTCCATGGACCATAGTCTATGATTTTTATCCATTTTTTTGTTCCCGACCAATAGCAAATTAGCAATTAATCGTGCGAACTTCAATATTCCTGGTTTTCACGGCTATATTCACGATTTTTGCCTATTATCGTTACATTCGGCCAAGTGATAATTATTATGACTACTTCAAAGTTCGCAATCTTAATAACTCACGGTTATGGTAATTTTTATTCGTTTCATCCCAATGACATGATTATACATACATCAAAATTCGTGATTTTTATGGGCTATAATTCTATGGTTTTTGTTCATTTCAACCCAACCGCAATTAATTATGTGAACTTCAATATTTGTGATTCTCATAGGCTATTACCCATGATTTTTGTCATTTTTTTTTTCGTTTTAACCTGCAAATCTAATTATTTATCTATATCTAAATTTGAATATCTGATTCAGAATTCTTTAGCTGCGAAGGCAGACTGTATTTCAAGCATTCCAAGAATCCACATCATTAAGTTTAGTGACAGGACAAGCAAGCCTTGTGTGAGGGCATTTAGGTAAAGCTTGATAGATGGAGATGTTAACCTCTAATTATAGGACTATTAAATTTGGTAACTCCTAAACAAATCAAGGACACGGTTTCTGCCAATTCCAATGGTATTGTTTGTTCTGTTTGGTAAACGATATCTTTCATGTAGTGATACGGTATAATGGTTACTAATCACAGCTAAGGTGGTATTGTTCTCCATGATTTCTACCTTCCGGTGGTATTGTGCTGTCTGCGAAAACATATCATTCATGTAGCTAAAAGCAGTATGGTTACTAATTGCAGTTACTGTTGAGGATCTTGAATTTTCTTCAATGTTCATTTAGATTATTAATAATGTATACTGATAATGTTTTTGTGAAGTATTCAGGGTCAAGGATATGTTATGAACTCTTTATTATTTTGAGAAATCGCCAGTACTTGCACTGCATGATGCTGCTCTTGTTTTTCAATAGTCAAGCTGCTGAATAATCTATCAAACGCAGACTGATACGAAATTTCTAATGCATTATTTTCTCTTCCAGTGCGCACGGCATTAGTCGCCTTGATTGCATTCATGCCGACGATCCCTGGTGGGGCGCTTGGCTCACTCGATTACAGCAAGGAAGAAAGGCGCAAACTCGCCATCAAGTCTCGCGAAGCACCGCCCAAATATGGCACCCTAGAACGGCAAAAACTAATCGACCAGGTAAAGTCTTTACTATTTTTCAAGCACATCACCAATCTGAACATTTTTTTTCACAAAACCCCCCAAAACTCTGGGGTGTCCCGCAATACCCTTCCTAAACTTGAAGATTTTCCCAACAGAGCCCCAAATAGTGTTAATGGATGCTGTAAAAATCTTATACACCCCCTTATGACTAAGCCATTAACACTGCCAGGGTGTCTATTGGGAAAATTTTAAAGTTTAGGGGGTTAAGTTCAACCCCCCCAAAGTTTAGGGATGTTTTTGAAATTAACCCCCTTTGTTAATGTTTTTCCATCTTTTTGACTTTATATATTGCAACTGATCACAGATTCATGAGTATATGCTCAGTAAAGCTCCCCCAGTCCCTCAACTCACCTCTGCCAGTGAACCTAGTACAAACCCTACAGGTGAAGAATCCCAAAATAATCCCGACCCTAACGAAGCAGAATCCCCTGAGAATAATCCAAACAGAGAATTAGAGCGAAGGCCTGAGGAAAACGTGCATGAGCTCCGTGTTGATGCAGCAGCTGGGCCCTTGAGAGTTAGCTTCAGTGCTGGAGTGAGAGTGTCGAGGGAAGGGGGAGAGGCTGGTGAGCAGCGCCAAGTTGTTGCTGGCAGAGCTCAGCAGCAGCCTAAGAGCGATCGTCTTTTCTCTGTTGCTGCTTTTGGATTGGCTGTTGCTATTGTTATCCTTTTGGTGAAGAAGTATGTGAAGTCTCATGGGATCCCTGGTTTTATGGAGGGCTTGTAAAGAGCTGAAGAGGTGCTGGCTTATTCATATAATTCTATATTAATATGGAGATTGCTGTATTGATTCGTATATAGTTGCCTACATATACATATGCTCTTTCTTGCATATAGAATCAACGTCTTTAATTATGTACCTTTCTGTTAATTCTATATAACGTGAATGATGTTTTAAGTTTTTCCCCCACTTTTTGTGTTGTCTTCATTGGCAAGTTTTGTAATTTACACGGAAACGTGACCGTTCTTATGTACCCTCAATTTTGTGGCTTGATAAACGAAATGCGTTTGCATGCGATAAAGTCACATAAAACCGAGCGCAAATTTTGATGAGTCCGGTTCAAAGAAAATTAGACGGATGTCATCATTAGGTCAGAAAAAGGAAAATGTTTTGTGCGCTTCTATCTATTTGCTAAGACTTTGAGTAAGTCTTTGTTTGGGTCTTACAGTAACAAGAATGAGAGTATCCAAAAGAAAAAGAAGAAATAAACGTTTATATCTAAGAATGATATGACAATATTCATTTCATTTTTTTTATATTTGCAGGAATTCATAATTCATAATTTCATGAGTTATAATCCATGATTTTTTTAATTAATTTTCAGCTGTTTTGATCAAATGGTAAATAATCATGCAGGGTCCAAAATTCACATTTTTACGAGTTATATGATCCATGCTTTTTTTTCAATTTTATACATTTCGATCAAATGGTAAATGATAATGCAAGAGCACGATATTCATGATTTTATGATATATAACTCATGATTTTTGTTAGTTTTTGTTTGTTTCAATCAAAATAAGAAATAGTCAAAGGGAGTCACATATTCACTATTTTCATAAGCTATATTCTATGATTTTTGTTCATTTCTTATCATTTCAACCAAATGAGAAATAATTTCGCATAGTTTAAAATTCATGATTTCATAAGCTATAACCCACGATTTTTATCTAATTTCGCTCATTTTGACCCAATGAAAAAGAATTTTATGGAGTTTAAAATTCACGATTTCAAGGGTTATAGCTCATGATTTTTGTTCATTTCAATCAAATGTCAAATAATTAAGCAAGAGTGAAATATACATGATTTCATGAGTTATAATTCACAATTTTTATTCAATTTTTTCGCTGCGCAATATTCATGATTTCATGAGCTTGAAACCACGATTTTCGCTCATTTGTGCTCATTTTAACAAAATGCTGCGCAATATTCATGATTTCATGAGCTTGAAACCACGATTTTCGCTCATTTTAACAAAATGGTAAGTAATTTTGCATAGTTCAAAATTCACGTTTTTCATGAGTTATAACCCATGATTTTTTTTCATTTTAGATCGTTTTGACCAAATAAACAATTATACAGTGGTCAAAATTCATAATTTTATGAGTTACTATGATTTTTTCCATTTTTGCTCATTATGATCTAATGGCAAATAATTTACGAAATTCAGAATATATGATTTCATGAGCTATAACCAATGATTCCTATTCATTTTAACCAAATGACAAATACTTACACAAAAGCAAAACATTCACGATGTTATAAGCTATAACCCATGATTTTCGTTCATTTTAGTTCGTTCTGATCAAATAAGAAAAAATTAAATGGAGTTTAAAATTCACAATTTTCATGAACAATAACCCATGATTTTCGTTTATTTTTTATCGTTTCTACCAGTTTAGCTATGATCCATGATATTTGTCCATTTTAGCTCATTTTGACCCAATATAAAATAAATTTGTGGAGTTTAAAATTCACCATTTCATGACAAATAACCACAATTTTTGTTCATTTATGTTGATTTTTACCAAATGACAAATAATTATATAAGAGTGCAAATTCATGATTTCATGAGCTATAAGCCACGATTTTCGCCCTTTTTTTCTAGCTAACATGAGTTAATTATACAGAGTTCAAAGTTTACAATTTTCATTAGCTATAAACAATATTTTTCTTTTCAATTCTGATTGTCTGGACCAAATGACAAATGATTATGGGGAGTTTAAAATTCAAGATTTCAAGAGCTTTAATCCGTGATTTTGTCCATTTTTGCTCAGTTTAGCCACATGACAAATAATTTATGACGTTCAAAATTTGAGATTTCATGAGCTTAACCCACGATTTTTGTCCATTTTCGTCATTTTGACTATATAGTAAATAATTATGAAGAGATGAAAATTCATGATTTTATGAGCTATAATCCCCCTCCTTTTTTTCTTCAATTTTGTCATATTCCACCAAATGACAAATACTTATGCAAGAGCGTAAATTCATGATTTCATAATCCACAACCCATGATTTTCCATTTTCATTTATTTTGACCAAATAGGAAATAATTACATTGAGTTAAAAATTTACTATTTTCATCAGCTATAACCTCGATTTTTTGTTCATTTTTAAATTTTTTGACTAAATGGCAAATAATTATAAAGGTTTCAAAATTCACGATTTCATGAACTATAATCCATGACTTTTGTCCATTTTTCTCATTTTTCCCAATGGCAAATGATTTTGTTCATTTATATTTGGTTTTGTGCAAATGAAAAATAATGACACCTTATGACTCCAAAAAAAAAAAAAATTGCCTCCACAAAATTGTTTACCAATGGGTGTGAACGGCTAAACATTAGCAAATATCTTAGGTGATAGCTCATGAAATTGTGAATTTTAGACTCCATGAAGCTATTTGGTAAAACGTAGAAACAATTAAAAAAAGACAAACAATTATGGGATATAGCTTCCATGAAATTATTTGTTCATGGATCGAAATGACTAAAATGGTCAAAAATCTTGCGTTATAGCTCATAAAATCATGGTCTCCACGAATTTCTTTTTTTACCAAGGGGTCGAAATGACTAAAAATGACCAAAAATCGTGCGTTATAGCTCATGAAATCATGATTTTTAAATTCCAAAAAATTATTTGTCAATGGGTTGAAAGGACTAAAATAGCCAAAAATCATGGAATACAGCTCATGAAATCACGAATTCCAGAGTTAGACAAAATTATTTACCATTGGCTAGAAATAACTAAAAATGGCTAAAAATTATAGATTATAACTCATAAAATCGTGAATTTTGGCATCCGTGTAATTGTTTACGTGGGCCTAAAAGGCTAAAAGTGTCAAAAAACTAAGTATTTGGGCTCATGAAATTATGAATTTATATATGAAATTATTTGCAGATGGGTCAAGATGGGTCAAAAAGGTTAAAATTGACCAAAAATTGTGCGTTACAACTCATGAAATCGTGATTTTTGAATTCTGTTAAATTATTTACAATTTAGTCTAAGTGACTAAAATGGCTAAAAATCATGCATTATATTTTATGAAATCGTAAATTTTAGATTCTATAAAATTATTTTAAATTTGGTCTAAGTAACTGAAATGGCTAAAAATCGCATGTTATAGCTCATGAATCATGAATTTTGGCCTCCATAAAATTATTTGTCATTGAGCCAAAATGACTAAATGGCCAATAATTGTGGGTTCTAGCTCAATAAAACGTGAAATTTCTTTGCGAAAATATATGCAAATGGGTTGAAAAGAATAAAAATGACCAAAAATTGTAGGTTGTAACTCATGAAATAATAAAATTTGGCTCCTCATAATTGTTTATCTATGGATGTGAACAATATAACATCAAACACCCGGCACCAATGAATTTTTACTGAGAGAGAGAGAGAGACTGTACCAGCACCGGTATCAAATGTAAATTATAGGCAATAAAAGTGCCTAGCTCACGCTAATACGGTATTCTTAGCATGGGGCACCACTTCGTTGCATAAAAGCAAAGATCAGCACATGCTTAATATGCAAAATAAAATGACAAGCGATAAGCCGTTTACCTTTCAAAGACGGTGCAAAGAGATGATAACTTTGATTATACCAATTTATGGCAGTCATGGTACACAGCTTTTCCTGGGACAAATAGAGCTACATTCTGCTTCCGGTTACGGCTTTACCAAAGTAACAAAACATCTCAACACGGAAAAAGACTAACTTGCAAGGCAATAAAATTGATTGTAGAAACGTTCGACATAATGATTAATAATACAACGAAAAAAAAAAAAAAAAAGTTAACTAACAGCAGTAGCTGAACCTTCTTGCTCGGTAGCTGGTAATGGCTGAAGGGCTTTGAAAGGATTCATTATCACACCGTCGATGAGGCCATACTCCTTGGCTTCTTTCGCGCTCATGAAGAAATCACGATCAGTGTCCTGATTGATCTTCTCTAGGCTTTGGCCAGTATGATAGGATAAGTAGCCGTTCAAATTGGCTTTATGATGCAGCATTTCATTTGCCTGATAATTTTTGCAGATTTCAATAAAAATTCTCAGCAAATTGAAAAAAAAAACAGAAAACAAACATCATATTGGCTTAACAGCACAACTAAGTACATTTCTTACGAGAAACGTATTTTTGACCAAAACCATGCAGGAAAAAAAAAAAAAAAAAAAAGTTAACTAACAGCAGTAGCTGAACCTTCTTGCTCGGTAGCTGGTAATGGCTGAAGGGCTTTGAAAGGATTCATTATCACACCGTCGATGAGGCCATACTCCTTGGCTTCTTTCGCGCTCATGAAGAAATCACGATCAGTGTCCTGATTGATCTTCTCTAGGCTTTGGCCAGTATGATAGGATAAGTAGCCGTTCAAATTGGCTTTATGATGCAGCATTTCATTTGCCTGATAATTTTTGCAGATTTCAATAAAAATTCTCAGCAAATTGAAAAAAAAAACAGAAAACAAACATCATATTGGCTTAACAGCACAACTAAGTACATTTCTTACGAGAAACGTATTTTTGACCAAAACCATGCAGGATAATCCACATAAATTCGAAAGTTGTAAAATATGCAAACAATATTCCATTTGGAACGACAATTTGTGATTTGCTTGAAAATGGCCAAAATCATTAGTTCACATAAATTCGGGATGAGTACGAATAAAGTACTCCATGCAGTACAAAAATTATGGGTTATAGTACACAAAAATTTGTAAAATTTGGAGTGCATAAATTATTTTATATGGGACGGCAATTTGTAATTTGGTCGATAACGATCAAAACCATGAGTTAATAGTCCAAAAAATTCGGAAATTTGGAGTAGCTTAAGATAATCTATGATGGGATGAAATTTGTGATTTGGTCGAAAACAGAAAAAAAATCAAGTGTTACAATCCATAGAAATTCAGTAATGTTTTA